TGGAGCCACTTGCGCTCGCCCGAGGCGATGAACTGGTCGATGATGCACTGGGCATTGTTGGCAAAGTCGCCGAACTGAGCCTCCCAGATGGTAAGGTTCTGGGGCGAGACGAGCGAGAAGCCGAGCTCGAAGCCCATGCAGCCGAACTCGGAGAGCGACGAGTTGCAGACCACAAACGGCGCCTGGCCCTCGCCGACGTGCTGGAGCGGGGTGTAGGTGCCCTCGTTCTCCTGGTCGTGGAGCACCGAGTGCCTCTGGGAGAAGGTGCCGCGCTCGACATCCTGGCCGGAGAGACGGACGTAGTTGCCCTCGAGCGCGAGCGAACCAAAGGCGAGCGCCTCACCGGTGCTCATGTCGATGTTCTTGCCCTCGTCGACGGTCTTGAGACGCGTCTTGAGGATACGGCCGAGGTTGCGGTGGACGGTGAAGTCCTCCGGGTAGCTGGAGACGGTCTTGCCGATGTGCTTGAGCGTTTCTTCCTTGACGCCGGTGTCCTTGTGGTCGAGGATCTGCTCGCGGAGCTCCTTGGGCGAGGGGAAGCCCTCCCAGGCGCTCGAGAGCCACTCGCGCTCCTCGGGGCGGTAGTTTTTGCTCTTGTCAAAGGCCTCCTCGAGCATGCCCCAGACCCACTTCTGGTGCTCCTCGATGTCGGACTTTGTGAAGCTGCCCTCCTCGACGAGGCGGGCGGCGTACTTTGTGAGGGTGGGGTCCTGCTTTGCGATGGCGGCGTACATGCGTGGCTGGGTGAACGAGGGCTGGTCGGTCTCGTTGTGACCGTGTCGGCGGTAGCAGACGAGGTCGATGACGACGTCCTTCTTGAAGGTGGCGCGCCAGTCTGCGGCGAGCTGGGAGACGAAGGTGACGGCCTCGACGTCGTCGCCGTTGACGTGGAAGATGGGGGCGTCGATGGATTTGGCAATGTCCGAGGGGTAGGGGGTGGAGCGGGCGAAGCGCGGGTCGGTGGTGAAGCCGATCTGGTTGTTGACGACGATGTGGACGGTGCCGCCGGTGGCGTAGTAAGGGAGGTTGTACATGCCCATGGTCTCGTACACGACACCCTGACCGGCAAAGGCGGCGTCGCCGTGCATGAGGAGCGCCATGGAGGTCTTGTGCTCCGAGTCCTTGGCAAAGTCCTGGAGGGCACGCGTCTTGCCGAGCACGACGGGGTCCTCTGCCTCGAGATGGGAGGGGTTGGCGACGAGGGAGAGGGCGACCTTCTTGCCCGAGGGGGTGGGGCGGACGTAGTTGGCGCCGAGGTGGTACTTTACGTCACCGCCGCCCTCGCCGTCGTCCTCCTTGCCGGCGAACTGGTGGAGGATGCCCTCGATGGGCCTGCGGATGACGTTTGCGAGGATGTTGAGACGGCCGCGGTGGGGCATGCCGATGGTGACGCTCTCTACGCCGTGCTCGACGGAGCGGTCGATGAGCGTCTTGACACCGGGGATGAGCGACTCGCCGCCCTCGAGGCCGAAGCGCTTCTCGTTGGGGTACTTGGAAGCGATGAAGCGCTCGAACGAGTCGGACCAGATCAGGCGGTCGAGGATGGTGCGCTTCTCCTCGACCGAGTACTTGAAGGGTTCGGGGGTCTCGATGCGCTTGCGGAGCCAGTCGCACTTTTCGCGGTCGGGGATGTGTACGTACTGTACGCCGATGGAGCCGCAGTACATGCGCTTGCAGGCGTCGATGATCTCGCGGATGGTGAGCTCCTGGATGCCCGAGTCGACAAAGTTGGGAAGGAGGCCGGGGCCGAGGCGCATCTTGCGGTCAAGGTCGGACTCGCTCCATCCGTAGTGCTCGATCTTGAGTTCCTCGGGGACGTTGGGGTCGAGGTCGGGGTCGAGGATGCCGAGGGGGTCGAGGCGGGCGATGCGGTGACCGCGCACCTGGTAGGCACGGACGAGGAGCTGGAGCTGTGTGTGTGTTGAAAAGAAGAAAGGGTCAGTGTCGGGCGATGAGGTTGGGTGAGAGAGCGGAAAGAAGCGGGCGTACCTTGAGGTGGTCATCGACGGCCTGGGTGGAACCGGAGAAGCCGGAGACGTCGACGGGGGGAGCCTCCATGGGGAGGGGCATGAGGGTGGGCGGGGCGCGGTAGGCCTGCTCGGAGGGGAGGCCGTTTGCGAGGCCGGTAAAG